ACCCGAAAAATAACAACACTTTGTCAGGACCATGAGTCGATCATTCCTACAAAGTTTCAGTTTAATCAGCCCAGTAGAACTTGACTTTAAGTTTAAAATAGTTTTTCAAAATGGCGGCCGTGGCGGTCATATTGGATTTCTGATCGACCCGAAAAATAACAACACTTTGTCAGGATCATGAGTCGATCATTCCTACAAAGTTTCAGTTTAATCGGCTCAGTAGAACTTGACTTTAAGTTTGAAATGGTTTTTCAAAATGGCGGCTGTGTCGGCCATATTGGATTTCTGATAGACCCGAAAAATAACAACATTTTGTCAGGACCATGAGTCGATCATTCCTACAAAGTTTCAGTTCAATCGGCCCAGCAGAACTTGACTTTAAGTTTGAAAGTTTTTCAAAATGGCGGCCGTGGCGGCCATATTGGATTTCTGATCGACCCGAAAAATAACCACTTGGTCAGGGAGATGTCATGTAACCTTCCCATGAAATATTAATGAAATCCCTTTGCCAGTATCAGGCTCAGGTGACCTAAAAACGCCCAATGAAATTCTGATAAGGGTTATGTAAAACAGTCAAATAAACGTAGAAAATGGTTGTTAATTACCTTGGCATGGGTTGTGTATGTGCCATTGTGAAGCTCAAGGTATAGCTCTCCTGTCCATTTACATAACTTATCACCATCGTTCTTCTCAACCGTGGAGAAATACTCATCAGGGGTACTCATCCTAACCCTGTCCATAAACAGAGTAATAGATCTCACGCAATGTTTTGATATTCATGAATGGAAAGCACAACTGAACATAAAATAAATGTTCCAAAATTTAAAAAAAATCATGAAGTAAATTTAAAAGACACTATTCATATCCACAGCAATTAAATCATCACACACCAAAACACATGAAGTTCATCCATATAAACAGTGTTATACACCCAAACAATAACTTTATACAAATTATTGCAATATACATGTTCCCTGAAAGAAGAGGTACCTTAAATTTCTTGAAGAAAGAGTATTGACCTTGGAAAAGAGTTACCTACCATGGGAGAAGGATTATGATTGAGGCCAATTATGCACAGCAAAATGAACACACATTGAATAAACATGGACATTCTAAAGCTTATTATAATGTCACCTGAAAATAATGTTCAAGTCTTCCAGTATCAGTGATCTTCAACAATGGTGAAGCATTAAACACCTTGGATAATAAGAGTTACCAACCTTGGGAGACCATCCGTATCCTCTATCCTACTCAGTCTCTGTAACATGTTCTCCCTGCCACATAAAATGATCTTCTATGTACAAATGCAGGTGAAATGTCGCAAATAATTTCTTCTATATGTGACTTTTATTCAATTTACCAGTATTATGATTCAAAAATTGATCTGATCAGAATNGGCATAAGCTCACTTGGCACTTCGTGCCAGGTGAGCTAAAAACGAAACTTAAAGCAAACAGTAAATGAAGCACATCAATATTATTTTATATTAAGTTCAATTCAAAATGGAAGGTCAGAAACTGGTTTAGTATCTTGAAGATGTAAATTTAATTTATTAACAAAATACCATACAATTAATAATAGAAATCTCAATCAAGGGATAAAGATTAAAGAAGAGATATCTTACGAGGGTCCATTGCCACCGTCACCGTAACCAAACAGGTACATACTGTGACCAGACCGTCCCTTGTCTCGGTAGTTACTCAGAGTAAAGAGAACCTGGACATACAAACATCATCACAGTGATTAATAATAAATATAAACATCCTCAAAAACAACTCCAATCAAAGACTTGCTTGCATTTAACAATGTTTCAACTTACTGACTTAGGAAAAAGAAGTATAACGATTATGGTCAAATTTAACATATTTTAAAGTTTTAAGGTTTACTCAACTGTGACTGATTTCAATCAATCAAATTAAATGTTTTATTCTATTGCTGATTATTTGAAATAATATAATACGAAATTAAAAAATACAGCAATATGCAGTACACCATGTGTAACTGTACTATTACAACATATTGCTGTTGAGCCTTTGACAACAAATCTACTGATCTCTCTTTAAACTTGATCTATGTAGTATTACTTTACTAATGTTTTGACCATAAGTTTGTGAAAAAAAACACCATTTTGATTAATTTTCCATTTGTACCATCATCTATTAAGATGTATACTCTAGCTTCATAATGAAGTCTTATATTCCATTTGCAGAGGTCGGTAAAGGTCAGTACCTCTTTGACATGGCCTTTCATCTCGTACGAATCACCGGGTGGGAAATGTGTCAGGACTTTGCTGCCATCAATACCCTGCCACCAAAATGTGTGGTGCTGGAAAAGGACACATTAATACATTTGTTGAAGAGGCATGTTATATCATAATATACACCAGCACATTCAGGAGGTACAAATTGACACAGACTTTCTCTGATTATTAAATGTGTACAAACAAAGTTATGATAAGGAAATTAAGTGCATTGGAATTTTCCTATGAGGTAGAAGAGAATAAGATCACTTCTTATTGAAGAAGAGTATTTGTGTTAATCTTATCTGGGTAAGTTTAGTTTTCTTATTTCGTGTCAAAACCCTACAAAACTTGAAGCCCACATAAATAACTTGCTATATAGTATAACACTAAGTGATGTTCTCACTGGTCATATCTAAGTCTGAGGTCAGCTTATCAAAGTCTGAGGTCAGCTTATCAAAGTCTGAGGTCAGCTTATCAAAGTCTGAGGTCAGCTTATCAAAGTCTGAGGTCAGCTTATCAAAGTCTGAGGTCAGCTTATCAAAGTCTGAGGTCAGCTTATCAAAGTCTGAGGTCAGCTTATCAAAGTCTGAGGTCAGCTTATCAAAGTCTGAGGTCAGCTTATCAAAGTCTGAGGTCAGCTTATCAAAGTCTGAGGTCAGCTTATCAAAGTCTGAGGTCAGCTTATCAACAATCAACTTCTTGGCTTTGGAAGGCTGAGGCTGCTTAACTCATTCACCCTGAAGACACATTTGAACTCTCCCAATTCAAAGGTTGGAAATGTTCATTATGAAATTTCAGGGGTGATTGGTTAAGTAAAGTGTTACACTGCATTGCATGGGGTTTATAGAAACTTACAGGAAACTTGTTGATGAGACTCCAGCTGAGCTTCTGAGTAAGGAAGCGTTTGATGTTACAGATATTCATGATCTGCGGAAGCTGAGCGGAGTATCCAAATGTGTCTGGCAACCAAAACTATAACATTGTATAATATATGTAGCGGTCATTGTTTAGTTTTTAGTCTCAGTTTTTTTAGTTTTCTGTAGCATCATAAACATTGCATTAAAGTTTCTTTCACATTACATGTATAAACATGTTTCACATTACATGCATAAACATGTTTCACATTACATGTATAAACATGTTTCACATTACATGTAAAAACATGTTTCACATTACATGTATAAACATCTTTCACATTACATGTATAAACATGTTTCACATTACATGCATAAACATTTTTCACATTACATGTATAAACATCTTTCACATTACATGTATAAACATCTTTCACATTACATGTATAAACATGTTTCACATTACATGCATAAACATTTTTCACATTACATGTATAAACATCTTTCACATGTATAAACATCTTTCACATTACATGTATAAACATCTTTCACATTACATGTATAAACATCTTTAAGTAGCAATCAAATCAGAAACAGACCTCTTTACTAATAATTTGAAGAAAAAAACCACTACAGCATTAAATACAGAAGATATATCAATATTCAGCTAATTTTTATCTAATAAAGATCTGCTCCAAATTAAATGTAAAACAACACAAGAAATTAAACTTCCAAAAAATATGAGAAATAATATCTAAAGCATTACGAGAAATATAATGAATATAAAAGAATATTCTATTATTTGGGGGGAAATTTATGTAGTACAGTGTATGAATGTCATTACCTCTGAGCATGTTTTGCCAAACTCTTTTTGAAAGAACAGCTGTCCATACAGGAACTGTCTAATAAAGGACTCTCCGCTGGGAAGGTTTCCATCCTGTTAGGAGATATGAAAATGTTACTGACGTATTTCAGTTTCCAACACAAAGAAGTAAATGTAACAGTCTTAGTTTAATTAACAGAACCACTTTATAAAATCTTCCATGATCAATTATTGAAGACATGTTACTTAAACAGTGTCAAACTTTTATAGATTGTCTGAAAAGAACATGTCTACTACTATTAAAATGACATGTCAGATCCTACAAAAGATTTGGTTTGAATCAAATTTTATCTTTCCTGCCAATCTAAATCATTGAAAGTTTGAAAATGATCTAACAGTCTGAGGTAGTGATGTTGTACAGATTATCTGAGGACCTGTACCTTAACTTCTGTACTAGCATGAACTGATGGGAATTGAGGCATAAACCTGTAGTCTTTACTTACCATTTCCACTCAAGTACCACCCACAGGTATGAAGCGCCCCTTTGTACCTACCATTTCCGCCCACAGGTATGAAGCGCCCCTTTGTACCTACCATTTCCACCTATGTACCATCCACAGGTATGAAATGCCCCCTTTGACCTACTATTTCCACCCACCTGCAACCCACAGGTATGAAGCACCCCCTCTGTACCTACCATTTCCACCCACAGGTATGAAGCGCCTCCTTTGTACTTACCATTTCCACCCTCGTACCACAAACAGGTATGAAACGCCCCCTCTGTACCTACCATTTCCACCCACAGGTATGAAGCGTCTCCTTTGTACCTACCATTTCCGTACCATCCACAGGTATGAAGTGCCCCCTTTGACCTACTATTTCCACCCACGTACCACACACATGTATGAAGCACCCCCTCTGTACCTACCATTTCCACCCATGTACCGCCCACAGGTATAAAGCACCCCCTCTGTACCTACCATTTCCACACACAGGTATGAAGCACCCCCTCTGTACCTACCATTTCCAGCCACAGGTATGAAGCACCCCCTCTGTACCTACCATTTCCACCCATGTACCACCCACAGGTATGAAGCACCCCCTCTGTACCTACCATTTCCACCCATGTACCACCCACAGGTATGAAGCACCCCCTCTGTACCTACCATTTCCACCCATGTACCACCCACAGGTATGAAGCACCCCCTCTGTACCTACCATTTCCACCCATGTACCACCCACAGGTATGAAGCACCCCCTCTGTACCTACCATTTCCACCCATGTACCACCCACAGGTATGAAGCACCCCCTCTGTACCTACCATTTCCACCCATGTACCACCCACAGGTATGAAGCACCCCCTCTGTACCTACCATTTCCACCCATGTACCACCCACAGGTATGAAGCACCCCCTCTGTACCTACCATTTCCACCCATGTACCACCCACAGGTATGAAGCACCCCCTCTGTACCTACCATTTCCACCCATGTACCACCCACAGGTATGAAGCACCCCCTCTGTACCTACCATTTCCACCCACGTACCACCCACAGGTATGAAGCACCCCCTCTGTACCTACCATTTCCACCCACATACCACCCACAGGTATGAAGCACCCCCTCTGTACCTACCATTTCCACCCACATACCACCCACAGGTATGAAGCACCCCCTCTGTACCTACCATTTCCACCCACATACCACCCACAGGTATGAAGCACCCCCTCTGTACCTACCATTTCCACCCACAGGTATGAAGCACCCCCTCTGTACCTACCATTTCCACCCATGTACCACCCACAGGTATGAAGCACCCCCTCTGTACCTACCATTTCCACCCATGTACCACCCACAGGTATGAAGCACCCCCTCTGTACCTACCATTTCCACCCATGTACCACCCACAGGTATGAAGCACCCCCTCTGTACCTACCATTTCCACCCATGTACCACCCACAGGTATGAAGCACCCCCTCTGTACCTACCATTTCCACCCATGTACCACCCACAGGTATGAAGCACCCCCTCTGTACCTACCATTTCCACCCATGTACCACCCACAGGTATGAAGCACCCCCTCTGTACCTACCATTTCCACCCATGTACCACCCACAGGTATGAAGCACCCCCTCTGTACCTACCATTTCCACCCATGTACCACCCACAGGTATGAAGCACCCCCTCTGTACCTACCATTTCCACCCATGTACCACCCACAGGTATGAAGCACCCCCTCTGTACCTACCATTTCCACCCATGTACCACCCACAGGTATGAAGCACCCCCTCTGTACCTACCATTTCCACCCATGTACCACCCACAGGTATGAAGCACCCCCTCTGTACCTACCATTTCCACCCATGTACCACCCACAGGTATGAAGCACCCCCTCTGTACCTACCATTTCCACCCATGTACCACCCACAGGTATGAAGCACCCCCTCTGTACCTACCATTTCCACCCATGTACCACCCACAGGTATGAAGCACCCCCTCTGTACCTACCATTTCCACCCATGTACCACCCACAGGTATGAAGCACCCCCTCTGTACCTACCATTTCCACCCATGTACCACCCACAGGTATGAAGCACCCCCTCTGTACCTACCATTTCCACCCATGTACCACCCACAGGTATGAAGCACCCCCTCTGTACCTACCATTTCCACCCATGTACCACCCACAGGTATGAAGCACCCCCTCTGTACCTACCATTTCCACCCATGTACCACCCACAGGTATGAAGCACCCCCTCTGTACCTACCATTTCCACCCATGTACCACCCACAGGTATGAAGCACCAACTCTGTACCTACCATTTCCACACGCAGGTATGAAGCACCCCCTCTGTATCTACCATTTCCACCCAAGTACCACTCACAGGTATGAAGCACCCCCTCTGTACCTACCATTTCCACCCACAGGTATGAAGCACCCCCTCTGTACCTACCATTTCCACCCAAGTACCACTCACAAGTATGAAGCACCCCCTCTGTACCTACCATTTCCATCCACGTACCACCCACAGGTAATGCGTGCCCCCTCTAGATCTGTACCTACCATTTCCACCCACGTACCACCCACAGGTATGAAGCGCCCCCTCTGTACATACGACTTGATCTTGTCATACATCACAGGATAGTGTTGCTTCACCCACTCAAACTGTTGAGCCTAGAAACAGAACACAGTCTGTACTCAAAACATTCAAGATATAACTATGACTGACAAAAACACCATTTCATTGCAGATATTTAACAGTATTCACATTCAGGGTTTTAGCAGTTACAATCGAACTGTGAATATATATGGTACAAATTAATGGATCAATGCACTAAAAATTGAATGTAAATTAAAGTTGTCTGACATATACAGGTCGATGACTACAAACATTTGTAGTTTATTAAACTGACTGCAAATCTGTTTAATCACCTGAGAGATAAATGTGTACATTATGTACCTGAGACATACATGTACATTACTGTATGTACCTGATATCTAACTGAGAAATATGTGTATATTATATACATGAGACATATGTGTACATTATATAACTGAGACATATGTGTATGTTATTTACCTGAGACATATGTGTATATTATACACCTGTGACATATGTGTATATTATACACCTGAGGCATATGTGTACATTATATAACTGAGACATATGTGTATATTATGTACCTGAGACATATGTGTATATTATACACCTGAGAAATATGTGTATATTATATACATGAGACATATGTGTACATTATATACCTGAGACTAAGTGTATGTTATGTACCTGAGACATATGTGTATGTTATGTACCTGAGACATATGTGTATATTATATACCTGAGATATATGTGTATATTATATAACTGAGAAATATGTGTATGTTATGTACCTGAGACATATGTGTATGTTATGTACCTGAGACATATACATTGTAGGTATGTTATGTGCCTGATATATGTGTGTGTGTTACATACCTGAGACATATGTGTATGTTATGTACCTGAGACATATACATTGTAGGTATGTTATGTACCTGAGATGTGTGTGTGTGTTACATACCTGAGACTTATAGAAACTCTCACCCCCAAGAAGGTGAATTATTCTTTTTCTCTGACCCTGTTCCCCCATTGTGTATCATATACACAATGTAATGTTAACTTTGCAGGCTAAATTCAGGGTTGACGTGACGTTGATGGATTGTCGACATGATGTCATTGTATTGTTGAAGTGATGTTATATCATTGTTATGAATCGGGGAATCCCCTCGTCTCAACTCTAGGGTGAGACAAGGAAATCTCACACCGGTAAAAGTGCACACACACCTGTCCAGGAAAGAGAAATATGTGTGTGTTACATACCCGAGACATATGTGTGTGTTACATACCTGAGACAAATGTGTGTGTTACATACCTGAGACATATGTGTGTGTTACATACCTGAGACATACATGTGTGTTACATGCCTGAGACATACAAGTAAGTTACATAAGTTACATGCGAGTACATTATTTACCTGAGAGCAAGTGAAGGTGAAGTCTGGGTACTGTTCCATCAGCTGTAGCGTACATGACCAGCTCCTCGCACACTTCCTGATTGTCTCAGCATACGGCCACAGCCAAGCTTTAACATATATCAAAACAAACCAAACCTTCAGAAAAAGGCACTAAATAATTAACAGGACATGGGTCAAGGGCATAAAAATATTGCTAAGGCCATTTGAAGAATACTATATCTATGTACATGCGAGCATGTCCAAAGTACAATGTACAACGTATTGCATGTGTGACATGTTTATTATGTTAACTTTTTCTATAGCATGGAAAGTGACTTCACAAGTTGTTTACCTGTGTCTATGTGAGCATGCCCCATAGCATGGAGAGTGTGCTGACTTGCCCCATTGCCTTGTTTAAAAAACTCTTCTGCTATTGCATGGGCTCTAGAAAAAAAACAGAAGATCACATTTGTACACATACAAAGTTTGATAATATTAAGATAAGGCAATAATTCCAAAAATTCTAAAACTTTGAATACATGATAATGTGTCTTCAACATGTGAAGGTACATGTATATGGCAAATAAAAGTAAGAACTAATTCAAAGGAATATACTACAGGAAACATCAGTAAACAATGCTAGAAGACATCTCATTCTTGTTATGCTTTCTGCTGTTTGCCAACATATACATGCATGTTCCAATGAAAATGTAAGAATGATCAAATTTACTGGTATATAACCACTATATCATAAGAAACAGCTGTTAATAGCTTATGGCTGGTCTATTTTAGCTGCATGCAGAACATTTATTCCTTACTTTTCCACAGATTAAAGTGTACTTGCTCAGACTGTTGTAAGATATAATTGGACAACTGACCTGTTGTTAGATATAATGGGACCGCTGACCTGTGGTAAGATATAATGGGACCACTGACCTGTGGTAAGATATAATGGGACCGCTGACCTGTGGTAAGATATAATGGGACAACTGACCTGATGTAAGATATAATGGGACCACTGACCTGTGGTAAGATATAATGGGCCCACTGACCTGTGGTGAGATATAATGGGACCCCTGACCTGTGTTAAGATATAATGGGACAACTGTCCTGTGGTAAGATATAATGGGCCCACTGACCTGTGGTGAGATATAATGGGACCGCTGTCCTGTGGTAAGATATACCCCGACCACTGACCTGTGGCAAGATATAATGGGACCTCTGACCTGTGGTAAGTTATAATGAGACCGCTGATCTGTTGTAAGTTATAATGAGACCGCTGACCTGTCGTTAGATATAATGGGACCACTGACCTGTTGTTAGATATAATGGGACCGCTGACCTGTTGTTAGATATAATGGGACCACTGCCCTGTTGTTAGATATAATGGGACCGCTGACCTGTGGTTAGATATAATGGGACCACTGATCTGTGGTAAGTTATAATGAGACCGCTGATCTGTTGTAAGTTATAATGAGACCGCTGACCTGTCGTTAGATATAATGGGACCACTGACCTGTTGTTAGATATAATGGGACCGCTGACCTGTGGTTAGATATAATGGGACCACTGACCTGTTGTTAGATATAATGGGACCGCTGACCTGTTGTTAGATATAATGGGACCACTGACCTGTGGTAAGATATAATGGGACCACTGACCTGTGGTAAGATATAATGGGACCACTGACCTGTGGTAAGATATAATGGGACCACTGACCTGTGGTAAGATATAATGGGACCACTGACCTGTGGTAAGATATAATGGGACCACTGACCTGTGGTAAGATATAATGGGACCACTGACCTGTGGTAAGATATAATGGGACCACTGACCTGTGGTAAGATATAATGGGACCACTGACCTGTGGTAAGATATAATGGGACCACTGACCTGTTGTTAGATATAATGGGACCACTGACCTGTGGTAAGATATAATGGGACCACTGACCTGTGGTAAGATATAATGGGACCACTGACCTGTGGTAAGATATAATGGGACCACTGACCTGTGGTAAGATATAATGGGACCACTGACCTGTGGTAAGATATAATGGGACCACTGACCTGTGGTAAGATATAATGGGACCACTGACCTGTGGTAAGATATAATGGGACCACTGACCTGTGGTAAGATATAATGGGACCACTGACCTGTTGTTAGATATAATGGGACCGCTGACCTGTGGTAAGATATAATGGGACCGCTGACCTGTGGTAAGATATAATGGGACCACTGACCTGTTGTAAGATATAACAGGACGACTGCATGACCTGTGGTAAGATATAATGGGACCGCTGACCTGTGGTAAGATATAATGGGACCGCTGACCTGTGGTAAGATATAATGAGACCGCTGCCCTGTGGTAAGTTATAATGAGACCGCTGACCTGTGGTAAGATATAATGGGACCGCTGACCTGTGGTAAGATATAATGGGACCGCTGACCTGTGGTAAGATATAATGGGACCACTGACCTCTGGTAGGTAGATGAATCCTCCACGTTACATGTGTTGATGAGTTTGTTCACAGTAAACAAAGCCTGATAGCCTCGCTCGGTGTTTTCTGGTAAGTGCTGAGAAAAAATTCCATATCAAATTATTTCAAAGACTAAATAAGATAATCCCTTTTATCATATGCATGAGGATGTCTTAATTGATAAGATATCTTGATCGACTTTTACTGTACTATGTTAATTTAGTCCTCATCATCAAAAAAGTTTACTATTGCTATGGAGCAAAGTCCAAAAATTGAACCTGGGGAATTCCCTGTCAGCAAAAGGTGGGATGGAATAGAGGAGTTCACACAAGTGGGGTGGAATAGAGGAGTTCACACAAGTGAAGAGTGTGGTTGGTTTTGACACTGAAGAGAACTGGAAAACTCAGTTCTTTTCCCAAATATTTTTATCTGAGATGATCATCAACTCTCCTAAAAGAATTTTTAGTTCTGCATAAACTATTGGCTTATGTATCTCACCTTTGCCATGTCATGTAGCATCTCCACATCCATGATAAGATTGTAGATTCTGCGGTCAAACACAGCAATCTCCGCCTGTGCCAGGGTGAAGTAACGATTGGGGTCTGGACGTTCGATCATGCCATTATCACCAGCTCCAAACAAACCATTACAGGCCATCTCTATATGGATCGTCTGTCTGGTGACATACAGTAGTAAAGTGATCAAAGGTTACGAAGCTTGTGAAATTCTGTCAACAACTCATTGAGATGTCGACGAAAGACATGTCTTCAAGACAACAGAAATAAACAGTAATTATTCAGATACTTACATGATATAGATGTAGGAGATACCCCGGTTTACGATTTAATTTCAGGATATTTTAAACTCTATTGTGATTTGGAAGATAAATCTCAGATGTAAACACCTAGTCCTTTGTACACGTGTCCAAGACTTTCACATCTCTGTAACCTTCAGCGAGTTGTTTTGATTTGATGCCAATGATAGTCATCACACAATACCTCAATGGCATCAGAAAATGTTTCAAATACTCTAGTGAATCTGATCTGCTAGATTGGTTTTCAAATTATATTGCTGAAGCATATACAATATAGCAGTTACAATTTTTTGTGATAGTAAATATGAAGTGATATAAACTCAAAAAAATCTATATTGACCACGCTTTCGCCGCGAACAATAGAACTTTTTCAGGTTCATACCTCATTGATAATCAGCATTAAAAAAGTCCAAAATTTTATAATACATTACTTCAACCATTTGATAGTTAATATTGGTAATAAGTCTGTCACAAACCTGCATTGGTTCTTCCATATTGGACCATTAGCCAAGGGGAAGGAATGCCTGTTGTGTTCCCCACTCAAACCCTGTATAGTACAAACAAATAAACACTAAGTGAAACATTAAGTGGTTGTTGCTGTCTTTAAGTTTATTGCATTGTAAAACATGTATTTAAAGACATTTCTATGAAACTTTTTACAAAAAAAGACACAAGACTGTATACATGCTACCTTACTGTGACAATTAAATCAAAAGAGTTCCATATTAAGAAACCTATACAATATTGCGACTGGTTTGAAAGGCATAGAAAAATGAAATTGATCTCAGGAATATATTTTGAAATTATTCAAGATCATTTACATAATACCATACCTGACCAAATGGAGACCATGAGACTTGGTTTGCGAAGGTTTGAGACTGGCCTTCCAGAGAGTGAGATTTTGATGATACTATGGCATCACATTGTTACAGCAATCCATTTAGGGGTTTTAAACCTATTTGTTCAATCAAAGGCTTAGTCAAACTCATCAATTTTCTGATCTAATCTATTCAAACTAGATATATGTCGTGATGACATACATTCCCTGTATTTCTTCAGTTTCATTTACTTGTAAATGCATGTATGTATGTAAACACTGAGAATATAACCTCGCATATTTTACATATGGTCTACACCCAGAAATGGCTGCATACATGTCCCTGCAAAGGAGTACCTCAGTTAAATGACCTAGCTGGAGGATGGTTGAACTACCTGAACTAGTACTAGTGTGTTGTCCCTCAGAGGAGGCAACATAGTCTAGTGGTAGGACGCCGGGCTTGTGCCTGAAGGGTTGCGGGTTCGAGTCACGGTACGGCACTGTATTGTATCCTTGATTAAGATACTTACTCAGCTTGTTCCATTCGATCTACTCAGCTGTAAATGAGTATTCGGTTGGGCAGTGCTAGAATTGTTGAATGCTAGCTGTGAGTGCCGAATGGCAGCACCACCTATATGTTTCCCAGGGAGTTGATAAAAGTATTGGATGATTGCAATAGGCCCTATAACCATGGATAATAATTTGTGAACCGCTTTGAGATGACCTACGACTAGGTTGTGATAAAACGTTATTTAAGAACCCCAAATTACTATTATTTATCATTATTTAGTAAATTGACCTAGCTGGAGGATGGTTTAACTTCCTGAACTAGAGTGCTGTACGTCCCTCCTAAGGAGTGCTTCAATTAAATGACCTAGCTGGAGGATGGTTCATTTACCTGAACTGGTGTGCTGTCTCTCCAGAGGAGAATTGACTTAGCTATTGCATGAAGCAAGAGGATTGTTTAACAACCTTAAATGGTGTGCTGTCACTCCTGATAACCTAGTTTGAGGATGTTTTGACTATGGTACGTGAACTAGCGTGCTGTCGACCTCCCAGACAAGTGCCTCAGTCAACTGAACGTGCTGGAAGATGGTTAAACTACCTCGACATGTGTGTTGTCTCAGTATATTATATATATTGACCTAGCTTGAGAATTATTTAACCACCTGAACAGGTGTGCTGTCCCTCCAGACCAGAGCCTCAGAGTTAGAGTTCCACAGCAGACATACTTCCTGTCCCGTCCAGTCTTCAGGCACTACGATGTCCAGGCAGAACCAATGTGTTGACCAACTGAGAACATTGCAATAGACACCTTATTGGGTGTATATAATCATCAAATGCCTTATAAGTTATATCAACGAATATTAAGTATGATTACAGATCCAGACAGAAAATCATATTCCTCTAATTACAAACATACAAGTAGGTCTACTTATAATCTATATGAAAGAGAAATTGTATGAAAAATATGCTTCTAACTGCATCTTTATAGCAATGCTAATTTATTAAGAGAATGACAGTTGAAATATTTAAAAGCATATTTGAAATCAGGGTTACTAAATACAGCATTAAGAAGAATACTCAAATGTTTAAAGCATTACATGTTTTCAGAAAACCAATCGACCTTTTAAATTGGCACATTATTTACCACATCTTATTTAACATTAATGAGGGTGACTCCAAAGCGTTATACAGAATTGATTTTTGCATTCCATTATATGTTATTACCTGACTTTGATAGCATGGATTGTAAGTAGGATTTAAATACATATATATTTAAATTTCCACTGCAAGTTCCTCTATGAGAAATTGCATTCATAATTTCATAGGGCAATGAACACAATTAGATCAGCATCATTTCGAAGCCAATCTCTCCTGCCTCGGATAACATGAGACAACTGCTAGATTAGCAAGGATTTTGATGACGTAAGGCTGTTACAGGAATCTTGTTAGCTCTTAATCGACATGAACACTTCAATATCGGAAATATAAGGGAATATTTGTATTTAGGTCAATACTAATTAAAAATTTAGAATGTAGAATTATATCAGGAAATGTAAAATTTAGAATTTAGAATATTAGGATTGAACGGCACTTTTTCAATGTTCATACCAGCACGAAATTGAAAAAAAATGTTCAATCATTATAGAGTTTGTAAGCACAGCATGCAATGACAATCAATCATCGAAGATCGTCAGATAAATATGAAACGTACGTTGGTCCAAATGACTGTCCGATCTTAACTTCCTTGTATGTTCCTGCTAAAGCTTCCTGTACAGGAATTCTGTCTGGAGCCTCAAAGTGCGATATAGATGCCAAACTTGCTTTCTTAGGATACAATCTGTAAAAGAAACAATATTATATCAATTAATGTTTAGTCTTATGTCTAATTACGCTATAGCTGTCTATCATATATATATAAACTAAATGTTCCATAATGATTTAATCAATTAAATTTTATAAATAAATTTGTACAGATTTTAATCACAATCTTCATCACAGAATCTGACACCTTACCAAAACCAAACATGAAGTAAATACAGAAGCTTTAGTTGACATCTTTGGACAATTCATTTTGTATTGAAACTATATATTACTGAGGGCTGTTCTGTGAAACACTTACTGCACAGATAGTGTACATCGTTTGTACATGTACATTTATATATAGTGAGATTCAAGTTGTGACTCCAGGTCATTATTATAAAATTAGCTATATTAGCTCTCATTCGAAAGTGTAAATTAACAGATCAATTGTGTTCTATAAATAAATGTGATTTTTTTTATCTTCAAACCAGTCATCTATGTGCTTTCATTTTTGTTTGCATGCTAAATTTGTGTGAACTCTGTGATATCCTCCATGACTAAATGTTTTTAGTTAATTGTCATGGGTTTTATATCAGTGTTATTAATGCAACACACCTTTTAAACCGAGCCTGTTTTTGTCATTGATTGAATGTTGCTTTTATTGTGTTGCTTATTATTTTGTGTTCTCTTTTTAAGTCCATTTAAAAATGACTGCATTATTATTTTATGATTTGGTGTTAAATAGGGCTTAGTGTATGGACTGGCCCAACCACCTAGCTAGCTGTCCTGCGACACCCCACACATAGATCATTTAATCTTTTAGTGCAGTAGCCTGTGTATATTGTTATATCAACACCAACCTTTCTTATATAACTTTTGTGTATTTTATTTAGATCACCTATATTTATTTCATCCATGTAGGTCTATGTTTATTTGCTTGTTGTTTTTGTTTGTTTAAGTTATACCTATATGTTTGTCGCAGAAATATATAGCTCTTATCCGAGCTAATCATGTTTGTATGTTTATGGTATGCGACGTTAAATAATATCATATATACCTGCTTCTGAGATTGACGTCTGTGAAGTGATGCACCGATATAAACTTCTCAGCCCTTTCCAGAGTTGTCCTCTTGTGTTTCAATACAACATGCTCCATGATGTCTGCTAATCAAGGCAATCTGTAATGTTTAAATAATATGCTCCTATTAATTAAAACACTTTATATTAAACAAATCCCGCATTTAGTTTCAGGTTTTTGTTACTGCACCATACATAATTTTAAATGGTAAAGATATAAATTTATCTGTGACCCTGTGCCTCAATTAGCGATCCCCTATAGATAGCCTCTCAACAACTTTGTCTGGAGTATGAAACATTTTAGTATGACAACATTCCATCCCAAATATGCGACATGCAAATGCACCTAACATTACAGCAGTCGAACGATGCAACATTGAGTCTACTCACTGCGTGCCCCTGTGGTCTACCGTATCGCGTTGGCCTGCCGGTTTCGGCCTATCTGCAACCAAAACACTCCACGGAAATGGAGCAACACATCCGCTCGAGAGATACGACCAGTGACCAGTGATCAGTGCTAGATAGAGTGTATAATACGAACTTCAGCTTTATTTTGTGAATTCAAATCGACATGCATATTCAAAATAGTTGTCGGTGATAATATTCATATTAATAAACGGTTTGATCAGCATTAACAAGGAAACTATTTCATAGTCTATTTTGAGATTTTTTAGTCATTCTACTTTCGATTCGGAACACAAGATATAGTCCATACACTACTAAAATAAAGTTAAAAGACACGTTTGAATATAATGACTGCACATCCCGTTTGTGAAAATATATACATACGGTATATAAAACGATACAATATTAGCAGTGTGTCTTACAACATCATAACTTATATAATATTAGTTCGCGCATTATTCACCCGGAACTACTTTTCAGGTTGCGATACACAACGAAAATGACGTCGCTGATTCCACATTACCCAAGTGAGGAAAATGGATAAACCTAATAAAGTCACCATGGACGATGGTAAGGAATAAGTAACTACTCACAATATGATTTATATCAAAGTTATCGAATTGAACGTTATTGAAGTATAAATGTAAACCATCCTGCAGCTACAGTACCTAACGTTTCGTCTAGTCATATGTTTCCGCGCGTTATATATTTCCGCGGAGCCATTTCATCAAGCTATATCTCGTTACTACGTGACCTACTGGACACTACACAAGGAAATTTTTAGACGTTTTGCCATTGTCTGTAAATTGACACAAAAATTATCGGAAGTTCGTCCGGAAAACATAATTAAGCATTATCTTGCTCAAAATGAACCCAATATCCTCGGGTTACCGGTTTCCGCGCACTTAAGAAGCATCCGCGATTTCGTACTCATATCGGCAGAAAACTGTTGAAATTACGGATCACTGTCATAAACATGTATACAATCTACTAATGGAAACAAAAAACTAGCAACATAAAACTGTATTTAAAAAAAAATCAGAACAAACAATTTTTAACAAATTTCTCCCGTCGGAAGTAGCCGTCATATGTTTCCGTGTGTCTATTTTGATTTAGTGTTCAAAGAAAGATAACTCGAATACACTAAAAAGAAATTCTCTACAGTGACCTGCAAGAACAAAAGCTTTGTTTGGAATAGAAAATATATCTTTAATCGTCAAATTAAATATCAAAACAACTTTTTTTAAATTTCACCTTTTTAATTTATTTTTCAAGATGTCAAATTGAACGAATTCATGTATTTTTTAAAAAATATTTATTATATTTATTTAGTTATGACACGGACTAAGATACTAATTCCGTGGTTATGATATAGAATCTGTTATTTTTTTTTTCTGCAGTCTTATATCGGTTTTGGTTGATGGTAAGTTATTTCTCATTTTGTTCTGTTTCAAATTGGTGAAAATTGAAGGTTCATTGCATTACAAGTTTTACGTTTCATTGAAAACACTGTTTATCGATAGAAGAATGTCTCCTTGGCTCTTTGGAAGTGGAAAAAAATCGGCGAGGAGATGAGGCCTCATTTGCATACGACATTTTCGTACGTTTGTCAGACTACAAAAAAGACTGGTTCATGAATGAAATATATCACCGTTTTTTCAGGTATGGGCTCATTTTGAGCAAGATAAAAAGAGCATTAAGCAAAACTGCATATTTATGCGTGTTTTTTAATCGGTGATTAAATCTTATGTTTTCCGGATGAACTTCCGGTATTTTTTTTGTCAGTTTACAGACGATGGCCAAACGTCTAAAATATCCTTGTGTTGTGTCCAGCAGGTCACTTAGTTACGAGATATAGCTTGATAAAATGTTTGCGCGGAAATACATAACGCGTGGAAACTGGTGTCTAGACAATACCTGAAAAAAACAGTGATGTATGTCATTCATGAACCCGGTGTTTTTGTAGTCTGACAAACGTGCGAATATGTCATATGTAAATGAGGTCACATTTGCTCGCCTATTTTTTTCCACTTCTGAAGAGTGAAAGAGACTTTAAAAACACTGTTTGCAATGAAACGTAAACCTTGTTATACAATGAACTTCCAATTTTCACCAATTTAAACAGAATAAAATGAGTAATAACTAGCTATCAACCAAAAACGATATAAGACTACACCAAAAAATTAATAACAGATTCTATTATTACATAATAAATAAAATAAATTAATTAATAAAATAACATGAATTCGTTCAAATTGACCAGGGATGTGTGTGTAGTGGTCCACTACACATCCCTGAAATTGACATATTGAAAAATCAATAGATGTTGTTTTTTATACCAAACGAAGCTTTTGTTCGTGTAGGCAACTAAGAGGAATTTCTTTCTAGTATATTAAAGTTATCTTTCTTTGAATACTAAATCAAAATAGACACACATGCAGAAACAAATTATGACGGCTTTAACTTCCGACGGGAGAAATTCACTAAAAATTGTTTGTTCTGGGTTTTTTTAAAAATACGGTTTTATGTTGCTATTTTTTGTTTCCATTAGTAGATTGTGTACATATCTTCTGACAGTCATCCGTAATTTCAACAGTTTTCTACCGATATGAGTACGAAATCGCGGATGCTTCTTAAGTGCAAGGAAACCGATAACACGAGGATATGTACCATACATATCCCTAGTCTTGCCTGAAACATTAAATTCAAGCATAATTTTTAGCTCGCCTATTCAGGGATTATAGGGGGGCTATTATGTAGTCACCCCGGCGTCGGCGTCCCACCTTCTGAGGTTAAAGAAGTTATTTCCAGACAGTATTAGATCATCACACTCAATTACAGTTGTCTATTAATTATGAGGTTAAGGCATTTATAAGGAGTGTAAGCAATGTGCTGAACCATTTTTTCATATTTTAGGAGCCAAAAACAGCTTAATTGGACTTGGTTAAAGTTTTGGGGCAAGTTTTTTTGTGAATATATATAGTGTTGGATCACCACCATCAATGGGCAGCTGTTGCCTACTATTAAGTTGGAGTATTTATATGGAGTGTATTATAAGCCATGTTCTGAATTATATTTACATTATTTTAGGGGTCTAAACTGGTTAGTTGGAATTATAGTTAAAGATTTTGGGCAAGTTATTTTGTGTAGTGTTGGATCACCACCATCGATGGGGTGTTGTCTATTATAAGGTTGGAGTATTTATATGGGGTGTAAGCAATGTTCTGAATTATATTTTCATTATTTTCTGGCCCTTAACTGGTTAGTTGGACTTGCATGGTTAAAGAGTTTGGGCAAGTTTTTTTGTGCAGTGTTCGATTGGTCACCACGATCAATACGCTGTTGACTATTTCACGTTGGCTGGTCATCTCTTCTTACATGTTAAGGTACAGCAAAACCTTTTTATATTGCCATCATTTCTTCAAAGAAATGTTGGCCTTATAAAGGGGTTTGGCGATAAATCGAGGGAAATGTATAAGGAATTTTTAATAAAAATATAATTAAGGGACATTGAAATATGTTTGTGGTAAGTGAGATGGCAATGAAATGACAGGCATTATATCAAGGTTTTACTGTACATTTGTTTCTATTGATATTTACTATATCTTACAACATATCTCACCAATATTTAGGCGAGCTATGCTGTTCTCCAACAGCTCTTCTTGCTCTTGTTGTTAAATCATATTTCTGCTGAGTGTAACAAATCTTTCTTGATACCGTTGGATAGAAGATTTCCTCTTCCCTACTTCCATAAACCTTAGAGACTATATAAAACTGCTTTGATATATGACAGTTCCTGTGGATAAACCTTAGAGACTAAATAAAACGGCTTTGAGATATGACAGTTCCTGTGGATAAACCTTAGAGACTATATAAAACTGCTTTGAGATATATGACAGTTCCTGTGGATAAACCTAGAGACTTATAAAACTGCTTTGAGATATGACAGTTCCTGTGGACAAATTGTACTAAACTTTGTATCTTTCTATTCAAGCCTACATTTTGTGTCATTTTTTGAGTAGTCAAAATTTAAAAAAAAAATATTGATACTTAATGGTATAATGGAAAGAAAAAGACTTGTAAAACAAATGTAAAATATAACACTTCTCTACAAACCTAATTTAATTTTAGAGTCAGATATTCTAGCTGCTGGAGCTTCCTGGCTATGGAACCTGTTGAACAAACCGGAGAAAGAAATCATCAGATTACTTCAAGAGAACCCAGACCTTGTGAGACAAAAAATATCACTGAGTAAGTCAAAGTTCATTTCTGAGTTCAATATGCAGCTTTGAAACAAGAATTTACCTCAATCGCAATTCCTTGTGATGATGTCAAAATCTTACAATACGTGTACTTTCTTCATAATGAATGATGGAAATGTAACAGGAGAGGAAAATATACGGCCAGACGGGGGTTCAAACCCCGGACCCTCCAAACTCTAGACGGACTCTCTACTATAATTGAAATATCTGGTCGCCGACGATCGACCCAGTCCAGTTCCGCTACAGAAATGATAGCTGTCTTTGACTGTAAAAAGATAATTTTCTTCTTCAAGGAGCTATTGAAGTTGAGTCAAAACTTCCCTGATCCTTTAATTTCACTTTCAAACAAATTGAAAACCTGTGAAGTGTTTAAGGCCCTCACTCCAAAGGGCAAGTGAGCTTATGTCATGGTTCAGCGTCCGTCGTCCGTCTGTCCATCGTCCGTCAACTTTTCCTTTAAACAACTTCTCTTAAAGAATGGACAGGCCTAGAGTCATGATATTTGGCTGAAAGCTTCATTGGTAGGAGCCTGACAAAGTTTGAGAATGAAAATGACCTTGACCTAGCTACTTCCAAGGTCACAGCCGTCAAATGTGTCAAACAATTAAAGAACTTCTGAAGAACTGAAAGGTAAAGAATCTTCATATTTCGCTGGTAGCTTCCTGGGATAGAGCCCAACAAAATTTGAGAACGAAAATGACCTTGACCTACTTTTAAGGTCACCTGAGTCAAATATGTTAAACTCTTCAAATGACTTCTCCTGAACAACTGAAAAGTATAGAATCTTCATATTTGTAGTACAGGATAATATTTAATTAGAATATTTTGCTATGACTGCTTAATTATTCAGGTGAGCGATACCTGCCCTCTACCTCTGGCCTTCTTGTTCTTAAAAAAGAGATGATTGCATGTTTTCTGCCTTTTCTCAAAACTGAAAAGACATGATAATTATCTATTCTACCCCAAACAGAACACAGAAGATAATTGCCTATTCTACCTGAAACAGAACACAGATGATAATTGTCTATTCTACCTGAAACAGAACACACAGATGACAGTTGTCTGTTCTACCTGAAACAGAATACAGATGATAATTGTCTATTCTACCTGAAACAGGTATTTAGGTTTTAATAACAAAATGTTGATATTATTTTCTCTGGATTTCAGCTTGCTTGGGTCAATTGAAGGTGAATGAGAACCCAGAATGTGAATGTTCTAGACAACTGGAGACTCTACAAGGGCGTGAAGGTCAGACAACTGAAGACCTGCTAGCAGAGCTCCACACCACCTTACTGCTCGGGGTTTGTCCACATGTTCTGTCCATCCTCCAGAACTATGATGGAACACAGTTACCGTCAGGATTTACAGCCAAATCTGAAGTCAAGGACAATATATATGAAACAATAACCAAGTTGTTTAAAAAGCATAAACATTCTACTGGAATTGATATGAACCGCTCCCCATCAGAGATAGGGGAAGGTTCTGTGCGGTCCTACATGCTCAAGAGCCTTATTCCCTATTCATGCACTGCCTCCATTACTGCTATTCACGTAGCAACAGCTCTTGGAAAACGCAAACTTCTTAGAGAAATTTTGTCAGATAGATTGACTCCAGTGGGCAGTTTATGTTTTCATTTTGAGACTGGATATCACAGTATTTCCCCTTTTCATACTGCAGTGTTGCATAGAAAATACAAAGTCATTGATTTTCTGAGAAAGAAATTTCCAAGCATGGCTGGCAACATGGATAGACACTTCGACCGTGGAAATATCACTCCCTCTACCTTGGCAGCACAAATGAATGATGTTTCTGCTTTAGAACACCTACTGAAAGACAAACAATGTTTCAGTGGTATGAACTCGAAGGCATTGCTTGTTTCTCTGGAAAACAGATCTATGGACTGTGTAGAGTTTCTCGTCAAAAGAAACCATGTTCGACTAGACAGCAGAGTCCTGGCTATGAATCGAGATGTATCACATTTCTTTAACTTACACAAGTCTGATCCAACCGTCAAACTGCTTAAAGATTTGATCACACAACCTTCAGAAAGAGACTTCCTCAAACTGATAGTGGATTACGAATGTTTCCCGGTTTACTTCATTGTTTCTTTATGTATATACCTTGGTAAGATCATTCAGTGATTCTTGACTATCTGTTTGGTATAACCTAACACAATTGTTATACTGGGTGCTGGTGAATGTCAGTTGTTAAGATAGGAATGTTTCAGCATTTAGAATTGGAATAGCTGTAATAAATGAGCTTCTTCAGAAAGAAAGTGTACAATAATGTCCACTCTACAGTAACCTGTGGGAACCTTAGTTTATTGTCAGATCACTATTTAATATTTCAATATTTGATGTCATCACCAACATCAGTTACAGTACTATGAGTGTCCAGCCTATGAAAACATTGGGGGTCAATGACATGGAATGATGTTGCTGAACAAAACACCTATATCTTCACTAGCTGACAAGACATCCAATACATACATAATGTACATGTATTCTGTAGGACATTTATCTGCATAATAGCAAAAGTGCATTTCTCAACAAGATCATGTTAAACGGTTCTAGTCACTTTAATTCATAAATTCATTCAGAGCGTACAAAAAATAAAAGACTGAAAACAGCAGAGCAGAGATAGTATTGAGTGATGGAAATTGTTTTGAATGCATATTTTTTAAATACATGTACCCAACTGTTTAAAGACTGCAATGATGTATCATGTACAAATGGATGTGGTGGATAATTAAGTGTTGGTTTGTTTAATGATCTCATTCCTGGTTAAATAGGCAGGATATCTTAGGTCTATGGCAAATTCAATAGCATACAATATTAGATTTATAAATTGATTGGACATTATTTGAACTATGCATAATTTCCACAGCTAAACTACACTCACTTTTTGATTCTAACAATTTCATTAATTAGTATGCACGTCTAATATATTATCTCCCTTTTCAGATGCCACTGAGACAACAAAGTTTCTACTTGAATCCACAAAAGCCAATTCAATTACAAAGTTTTCAAAATTTATGAATCTGGTTACCTTGGCAACACTAAAAAACTCACCCAGCCTTCTCAAGGTACTTATTAGATATGTTAGATTTCGGCATACCTTCCACTATACAGTTTGTTCTCCACTATACTGGGCAAAAATGTTGCACTATGATGCATGTGTGAAGATCTTGGAAAAGCCATTATATTATTGTCGTAAACAGAAAGAAATAAATGACTCTGACTTTGCAACAGTCCCTCCATTTCCTGCTCTACTTCTGGAGACAAATGTGATTGAAATTGATCTGCTTGGAATTGTAAGTAAACTGAAGGAATTTGGATACGACATCAATGCAGCCATAACAACAGGTTCATCATGCCTGAATTTAGCCACAGATCAGAGGAACACATCTGCTTCTGTTAAAAAGAATGGCAAACTTGTTAGCCTTTTGCTTGAACTAGGAGCAGACGTATTTGCTACAAAAATGTATCAAATTCGTGGGCAAGGGATGAACCCATCAATGCTGCTGCGTATGCTTTTGGCCAATGTTGACATCAGTGGACCACAAACTGCAGAGCTGCAAAGCTCTAGACCACAGATTATCATGCCACTAGTCAATAGTGAAATGCAGTTGTTAACATTACGTACTGCACACACTATTTGTAAAGATGATGTTGAATTCTTGAGAACAAAGTTAAAGGAAATGACAGATTTGGAGGGATTTGATAGAAACACCAGAATGTATCAAGATCTCAAAGACCACCTCGATGAATACGTTGACAATCCCCAGACACTGAGGCGCCTTTGCAGGAATTTTATTCGTAGAACAACTGGCATTCACTTACACAACTTTCTGAAGGGTCAAATCTTACCACAGAGGCTGGTCAATATATTGACACTGAAAGACGATTTGGAGCCATATTGGCAGAGCTGTCAAGAGAACCAGTTTTGGAAATACGGTTATGATCATTAAAACTGTTCAGGTAAAGTTTACTACTACATACATGTAGGTTAGTATTATGTAGAAGAGTTCTCCTCCCAACCACTTACTGGGTGTGGTACCTAACCTTTCTACAGTTACCTCCCCTGTTAAACATTGCAGCCCATGAAAGGGATTCTGGCTTTGGTGCTGATCATTTATAATTCTTAGATTACCACATGGGTTAAATGTAGGCTTCACAGTCAAGGTCTTTTTTCAAACAGGAATGGAAAAATGCATCACAACATGTGCTTTTTATGGGATACTTTCTTTTAAAAAGGACTGAACAATTATTTCAGTGACAATTGTAATATGATATTTGTTCGTTCATTTTGCCTTGAAAGGTGTCACCCCTGATCCATCTTTTGTGTGTTCAATATTTAAAGTAAGAACTTTATATGTTTGACAATTAAAGGAATGTTGATTGCATATTTATTTGTAAACAAGTTGTGTATAACATTTGTTTCAACATGTTTTCACAGGAACTGAGTCGTCCCGAGTGATTTTGAATATACAGTATGAAGGATAGCTGTTGACCCTTTAGGTTACCCTTGGAATCAACATCAAGATATCTTCCCCAGGAGAATAACTAAAAGGGAATCCTGAAATGTATAGGCTTTATATAGGTGTTCATTTGAACAATGAACTCACAACACCACCAAACTGGACATATTCAACGGGATAGCAACATTTTATGCAATTATAGTTTTCCTGTATCTGAATGTTGTAAGTAGACATGAATAAGTAGAAGTAAGTCACTAGCCCAATATAATGGAGCTGTCAGATTTTCTATAACACAATATTTTTATTTAATTTCCAATAATCATGAAGCAAGTTGTTTCCATTTATATTAATCACTCTTACTTGCCCGGATGTTAGATTCCTAAGGGTCTTAATTTGGAGGAAACCTGAGTACCCAGAGAAAACCAAAGTAGTCAGGAAGGTGACCACATACCTTTTCACGTCTGAATGGTTTTTCTAACCCATGCAACGGTTTAATAATTGAAGCTTTGCTTCATGAGCACTGAGTCAAGCAAAGAACTCTTGGAGCACTGCATTCCAATTGATTGGTTTTGGTAGTAATGTTGTGAAAGGTCATTATTATTATGAACTTTATTTTTTCATGAGCTTGAATGTTGATGTATAATGTTTATGTATAATATACAATGCTTCTAATTGTAATTGTACAGATTTCATTTTTTTATTTCTGGAACAAGACAATTTTCAGTTACCAATTCAATGAGCCATGAAGAAGAAAAATGTTTTGTACTGATGTGGAAATAACAGTAGCCCACACAAAAGCAAAAGATTCTTACTTCAGAGCAGACTGGGCATTTTGTTTTCATTACGGTTGTGAAACATACAGTTTTTATTTCAAATCTTGAGGTTTGTGTTCCAAAGTCTATTGTTCTTTTCATTTTAAGTTGTGAATTAAATGTCAGACATTATGAATTTGATAAATTATATCTTACCGTGTTAACGATATATAGAATGTTAATTATATCTTTACATGTAATGATATCACTTTTAGTACAATTTATTGACCAATCAGAATTGTACTTCCTATTCACTGCATACAGAGCAGCAGATTTTCAGTTTTAGATGCAGTTGGAGCTACACAGTAGTGTAAGTGGTTGTTTTTTTAACATACCTACAGAACTTTTGTAACTACGCCGTTGGTAACTTTTTGTAAGCATATCTTACCTGATAATAACAGAAAACAGTTGTCATAATTCCACACTTTTTGATGCATCACTATTTAGGTCATACTTGTAAAAGTTAACTGAATTCACTGGTGAACAATATATTATACTCTAGTACTGCTCTATATACTTGTAAAATATGTTCTGTGGTATGTAGGATACCTACAATAAAAAAAACATTCTCAATGTGATAAATATGTGTGTGAGTTAATTATAAGTCTTAATTTAATTGCCTATCAATGAAAGTGCAATAAATGTGTTCAGTTATAGCATGAACTTCTTATCTAAGTTTAGATGTTATACTTTAGACCTTACAGCCACATGTACTTCATTATACATTATATTTTACAATGTCTTTTGGGCTAAATGTATGTTGATTTACCTTTTACAAGCCCTGACCTGGCTGAGATGCCATCTCTCTGTTTACCTTTAACAATGCCTGACATGGCTGAGATGCCATCTGTCTGTTTACCTTTTACAAGGCCTGACCTGGCTGAGATGCCATCTCTCTGTTTACCTTTTACAAGGTCTGACCTGGCTGAGATGCCATCTCTCTGTTTACCTTTAACAATGCCTGACATGGCTGAGATGCCATCTGTCTGTTTTCCTTTTACAAGGCCTGACCTGGCTGAGATGCCATCTCTCTGTTTACCTTTAGCAAGCCCAGTCCTGGCTGAGATGCCATCTCTCTATTTACCTTTAGAAAGCCCTGACCTGGCTGAGATGCCATCTCTCTGTTTACCTTTAGCAAGCCCTGACCCGGCTGAGATGCCATCTCTCTGTTTACCTTTAGCAAGCCCTGACCTGGCTGAGATGCCATCTCTCTATTTACCTTTAGCAAGCCCTGTCCTGGCTGAGATGCCATCTGTCTGTTTACCTTTTACAAGGCCTGACCTGGCTAAGATGCCATTTGTCTGTTTACCTTTAGCAAGCCCTGACCTGGCTGAGATGCCTTCTTCCCTTCAATGATTTAGAAAAAAATTACTCAATAAATATATGTTATAAGTTCTTTTTTTATATACTATTTAAATGCTGCATTTGTGAGGTGGAAAGGGATATAACCTTGTTTTGATGTTATTTTTTGGACATTTTTTAGGAACCACGATTCTTGTTTCTTAAAAGCTTTGTCATAAGCACAAATATCAAACCTAAAATATAAAATGAATCTCTTCTACTGCCATGATATTAAAGCTATTGTGATAACCTGTTTCCACAAGATAGTTTTTTATGTGTATACACGTACACTGTATATTGTACATGTGATTTTACTTAAATGTTTACTTTCCTCTTAGAGGCAATAGCTATATTTTTACTACTATGATACTAAGATCTGTGATATAAATAAATACTTATGTTCTTTCTTTGTGTATGACTTGTTGTTACGATTTGCTGCTACTGGGGAGAGCATATAGGCCTTTATGTTTGTAACATTATATTTCTAATGTATCACAACGAAGAGAGTGATCATGAAATGTTCAACCTAATGTTCAACAGGGTCAAGTAACTATATATTCTTACTGATATAAAAGTGGCTTAATGTCAACTTAATTATGTAGCGCCTTACCAATTGACCTTCCCTGACATTCTGTAAAGACTAATTGCTATAAACTTCACCAACTACAGATGATGTCGGTCTAGTGTTGAGATATCTTGTACCTTAATTAGTATATGAAGAAATATTCATTGAATCTTGACGAACGTAAACTGTTGAATACTTAAAGCAGTTAATTGCTGTCTTGCATTTTCCCATCATCTTGTCAAGTTCTTGCAGATGTCGAGTTTCAAATCAAATTCTTCAACAGCAAAAAGAAAGACTGTCAAACTCAAGTAGGCCCAACCTATAAGTCTATATGTATGGTCCATTTGTGTGCCTTAATTGATTTTTCATTGTCACTACCCAAGTTTGAGTTGTGATGATATTACTTAGATTTTACCTACATTTGCATGGCGAGTGCTATCAATGAAGCAGAAGATGATTACCCTATATTTCCCTAGTATGTTTACAATGGTCTTATATAAATATATCATAAGTTCATGTCCTGTCCTTGTTTGATCATATCAATCTATCATTAGTTCATGTCCTGTCCTTGTTTGATCAGGAACTATCATTAGTTCACGTTTTGTCCTTGTTTGATTATATCAATCTATCATTAGTTCATGTTTTCTCCTTGTTTGATCATATAAATCTATCATTAGGGTCATGTTTTGTCCTTGTTTGATCATATGATTCTATCATTAGTTCATGTCTTGTCCTTGTTTGATCATATAAATCTATCATAAGTTCATGTATTGTCCTTGTTTGATCATATCAATCTATCATTAGTTCATGTCCTGTCCTTGTTTGATCATATCAATCTATCATTAGTTCATGTCTTGTCCTTATTTGATCATATAAATCTATCATTAGTTCGTGTTTTCTCCTTGTTTGATCATATCAATCTATCATTAGTTCATGTCTTGTCCTTGTTTGATCATATAAATCTATCATTAGTTCATGTTTTGTCTTTGTTTGATCATATAAATATATCATTAGTTCATGTCTTGTCATTGTTTGATCATATAAATCTATCATTAGTTCATGGATTGTTTTATCGGTTTTATGTTCAAATTATGGTTTTGTTGCGACTTTAGTACTCTCTTGTATTTGTTTATGAAGTCTTAGTCAAGATATGTTTTTTTTCTGTCTTTAAGCAATCATCAACATTTTGATAATTGATACTGCAGTTATTGAGCCGTGTTCAACGTTGTGATCTTTGACCCATGTTGATCATACTTTTGTTGGACCATATTGAACTCTTGCTCGTTTAATTGAGATCACTTTTTCGTGCCAACACACAAGGACAAGATCGGAAATCAGAATCTCAAATGAAACGAACCACAGTGTCAACACAATAGGACACGATTTAAAGCCAAAAATACAAAACAACACATTTTTTATCACAAGGATAAAATTAAAAATGAAATAATATTATACACCATTTTGTCAACTCACTAGGATAGGATCGGGATTTCAAATCCGTTATAAAACACCACAGTAGTGTAAACACAGGAGAACAAAACTGAACTTGAATTTCAATAATAAAGTACCTGAGTGCCAGCTCAAAATGACCAGATCAAAACTCACCGGGACATAAATTCAATAATAAAACACCATACAGTGTCAACACACTTACACATAATCGGAACTCAAATACAAAAATTAAATACCCCAGAGTGTTTACATACAAGAACAATATATGAAATGAAATTCGTTTAGAAGTTATTAACGTACAACCCCAGTGACAGACACAAATACAAAAGGAGACATATATCTCACAAAGTCGGGAACGAAACACAAACAAAAAGGAAACTCGTGAACCTCACAAATTTGATGACATCGGAGGGTATGAACCTGTATAAACCAGGAACGAAACCTACACAAAAGGAAGGACAAGAACACAAGAGGAATACATTTCTCCACATAACCGGAGTCAAAACATACACAAAAGTCAAACATAAAAATAAAGGCCTTGTAACAAATCCAGGGGGCCCACACACATAAAAGGAAAGACAGAGCAAAACAATAAAGGTATGTATCCTACAAACCTGGAGACAAAATAAAGGCCTGAACGTCAAACAATCCGGCCACATAATGGAAGGATGGAGCAAAACAATAAAGGTATGTATCCTACAAACCTGGAGACAAAATAAAGGCCTGAACGTTAACCAATCCGGGCACTTAATGGCTGGATGGAGCAAAACAATAAAGGTATGTATCCTACAGACCTGGAGACAAAATAAAGGCCTGAACGTCAACCAATCCGGGCACATAATGGAAGGATGGAGCAAAACAATAAAGGTATATATATATGTATCCTACAAACCTGGAGACAAAATAAAGGCCTGAACGTCAACCAATCCGGGCACATAATGGAAGGATGGAGCAAAACAATAAAGGTATATATATATGTATCCTCCAACCCTGGAGACAAAATAAAGGCCTGAACGTCAACCAAACCGGGCACTTAATGGAAGGACGGAGCAAATTAATAAAGGTATATCTCTATATCCTACAAACCTGGAGACAAAATAAAGGCATGAACGTCAACCAATCCGGGCACATAATGGAAGGACGGAGCAAATTACTAAAGGTATATCTTTATATCCTACAAACCTGGAGACAAAATAAAGGCATGAACGGCAACCAATCCGGGCACATAATGGAAGGACGGAGCAAAACAATAAAGGTATGTTTCCCAAAAAAAGCGTAGAAAAAACATATTCAAAGGTAATGTCATCAACCCTATAAACTTAAAATGTATAGTAAAGATTTTGAACTTTAGGAACCCAAAAAACCGAGGACTAAACAATATACCTGGTAAAATGAATGTCACAATCCTAAAACATACAGAGACGAAAAGGCATAAACCTCTACACAACCAGAAAAAAACGCATACAAAATGAAGGCCATGAACTCCACAATAATGGACACTATGCTCGTGATTATAATAGATGGACCCCAAAAAAGCCGGAAAGCGAAACACAAACAGAAGGAAATAAAAAAAAAGTTATAAACTCTACAGAACCATGGACAAAGCGCCTACAAAGATTAACCCTACATGGCCAGAGACAGAGTAACTAAAAAAAGGTTAACCCTGCAAGGCCAGGGACAAAACACGTACAAAATATTAACCATACAATGCAAGGAAAAAAACATCTATAAAAGATTAACCAAACCATGCAAGGGACAAAAATCCGATGACAAAACCATCCAGGTTCTCTGGAGGCATAGCTTATCATGCACCACATTTGACATCCATCCCCACTTCTTGAAGTTAATTATAACTTAGTAACTATATCTTTATGAGTTCCAAGTGAAAACCACCACCACTGCCAGCTCCAGAGATAGTAAACCTTTAATCATATAGCTTATTAGCTTGGTCCTGAAAATGTTTCACCGTTTAGTCTCAATGTCTATTCCATTGGCTCGGTTATCATTGGACAATTAGCCCAAACATTTACTGATGTACTCCGTCTGACACTGAGGAGTTAATTGTGAGGTTCAGTAACACCCTGGCTGTTCGTCGTGACTACTGACCTTCAATATTACCGGGGTGATATCACACTTCAGTTTACCGTTCACGTCCGGCGCAAGTCCTATCGCCAAACCAAACAAATACCCCACCCCTCTTGGACAGGAGATCTATCGTTTAACAGGCGGTCATCGCTCGGACACACTCACTCGCGTTTGCGGTATTATCTCATATTGATGCTCTGTAAGTGAAGTTTTCGCCTCAGTTTGAACATAACAAGGTGATAACGAACTCATTTCATCATAAGAGGGTTTCATGTTGACAAAGACATTTCTGACGCTATTGAAATTCTCGTCAGTCCAGGATGTCAGTCTCGGGGATACATTGGCTAAGTAAGGACGTGATATAACACTTTGCACTAACGCACACCTTCACAATGCATTGGCTATAGTTTTGAATTGGGAAATGTTAATTTTACCATAGGCAATAATGTGGGTTTTATAAGTGGATCAACAATATACTAAATGGCTTGGAACAGAACATTGGAAGTCACAAACATGACATCAACAGTGGGATTGAATGTGACTAATTCCACTGCAGATGGAGGAGGAAATTTTACCCAAGACGAGTATTATTACTACTACTACTATAACGAACCGCCTCCCTACCAAGTACGCCCTATTGCTGTGGAGATTCCCTTCAAGGGTTTCGTGTATCCAGTTCTAGCTATCGTTACCATCTTAGGGAATATACTGACAGTTTCTGTGTTTATCAAGGAGCGAATGCGAACAGCTACGTCCGTGCTTCTGATTTGTCTTGCTGTTTCTGACTCTGTCATATGTGCTTCTCTCCTTCCGAACTTTTTGTATCTCTATCCAACAGGAAACTTCAAGACGTATGTTATGTACGGTTGGTGTGTGGCACTACAGATCTTATCCAATATCTACCGTGTAGCCAGGACGACTTCCAATTGGATCACAGCCGCCATTGGCCTGCAACGGTACATCATAGTCCGATTACCATTCAAGGCCAAGCGGATCTGTACAATAAAGACGTCTTTGCTGACATGTGTCTTCATCACTATAGCCTCACTACTGATACACCTCCTACAGTTCCTTGCCTTAGAAATAATACCGTCAACACCGTCATCAACGCTGACGAATGGCACTTTGCCGACAGGATGTATCAAACAGTTTCCGGTGTGGATCATTGATACATTTCAGGACATGAAGAGGATGGTCTGGATGCATTATCTCTTCACTGGCATCTTCAGTGGTCTGCTTCCATGTCTGTTACTCCTCATCACTACAGTCCTCCTCGTCCTCCAACTCAGGAGGAGGCGCAAGAACCTCGGCAAGAACGGCTGTCATGGAGACGCCTCAGACAAGAACACAAGGCGGGTGACAAGGTTCGTAATCGTTATCTTAATCGTGTTTCTTCTAGCTGAGATGCAAGATGCAGTGGCTTTCTTCATATACGTTTACGAAATTAGCTCCGACAAAGACCGGAAAGTGCTTTCAAGAGAGGCGGATATGACATGGGACACATTCACTGTCCTCATAGCTCTACTCAGTTATCATGTCAATTTTTGGATATATCTTCTCATGAGTAAGCAGTTCCGTTGCGTACTTCGTGCGCGATTCTGTCCTAGGGATGGTTTCCGGGTAAACAAGAGAGATGATAGGCTGACAACTGCCTCGTTCTTGCCAGAGAACTCTACCTCACAAATGTCGTCTACACAAAAGGCAGTATGAACAGCGCCTATCTGTAATTGGAAACGTGCATATAGTATTTTAATTTTAAGTAGTATATTAATGCCGTCGTTTTGAACAGTTATTAATTCACAGTGTAGAGTTTTCATACTAGTTTTACACATATAAAATTATCACAGAAACTCTTAATTAGAAAATCACGGTAATGTTTTCTTTTTATCAATCATAGAACAAAACATATAGACTGTAATAGTATTTGTTTTAATTTGAAGCGGGGTTCGGTTAACCACCACACAATCGAGAATGCTGTTCTTGACGTTAAATGGTCAACTGCTCCTTGTTAGTAATATTAAAAGAAAATATGGGGTACTCTATAATTAGTTGTATATATGTAGATGACAATGTTTGTAGTTTAGACTTATTTTAGTACACATGTGGTTTGGTGCATACTGTTGGTCTATAATGCCGAAGTTGAATACTCGATGCATTTGTATATTTAGAAATATTGATGAGTCCCTATACTACATAGATTTACCTCCCGTTCCCCAGACTTGTTCGCGATCGACTACTTAAATCCTGAAGACATTTCTCGTTAGACAGTTAATTATAATAGTGACACGTAAAAAGGCGTCACGCTGCTCATCGTGCGGGTATTATAAAAGGTAAGGGTTCAGTCTAAATCAATATACAAATATGTTATTTGACGTTTCATCCAAAGTGGCATTTATGATACGTTTGTTTAACCTGTTTAATAAGTTTAAAGGATATTTTTTACAACACAGTTATGATTTGTTGGTAGACCCACTGCTATATTATAACGTGACATATTCCACAATAATGTGATTTTTATGTTGAAACCTCGTTATGCGCATGCTCATTGATATATCAAGGAAATCATTGAAATACAGTCTAATTATTAAAGTTCGAGTTCTAGTCAATTCAGTTTTTCGTTGTATTTTTAATTCAAATGTGCATTATTTAAATTCTTACCTTGGCTTCCATTCGATCATTCTAAGGAGCGTTTTGTTGGATTTAATCCATTCTGTGAATATATTATACCTCTTGTTTTATTGACTCCTTGTGTCGACTGCAAACTTATATCACAGGGTTTATATGACGGGTGTCGTCGATGAAGCAGAAGACGCTTACCCTTCATGAACACCTGGTCCTATTATCCTTGTACTTTATTAAGGGTATCCGTGAAATCTTTCCTTTGTTCATATTTAGCCCTAGTTTTATTGTTTTGTAGTTCGAGCTTTGGTTTTGTTGACACTTCGGTATTCTGTTGTTGTTTCTTGATTTATTAAACTTAAAATAAGGCCTTGTTATAGGGCTTCTTCCTGTAACATGATTAAGATGTGCATGCTTCTCAAAATCAACTGGAATGGAATGATATTTTGGGTTTTCAGTTTTTTTAATCATGTACCTTATATTGTTCATCTCCGGAAATGACAATAGGATTATGATATATACTTTAATTAATCTTGTCATCAAAAAATGTAGATGCCTTAAGTTGGTTTTAATAATGGGAACATTATCTTATTTAGCGTTCATGTATATCGTATTATATTAAAATAATTTAAGAACTTATCACTTACACATAATCATCTCCCTATTAGGGAGAGTGGTTTGTCAGTTTCTAAAATTGTGTGTTTCGTTTTTTCTCTTGGAACCTATTGCTAGTTTTAGAGATAGAATCTATGTATGTAGATATAATAAAACCCACTTTGATTTAAGATTGACGATACCATATATGACGTCATGACATTGCAGTATAAACCTTAGATTCACTGATGAAGTACAGACTGAAAGTCGTTTAACTTGGTGTGAGGCCCATGTGGTATTTAACAGCCGCATTCCTGATACAGTTTTTGGCTGTGAAATGTTATTTACTTGCACGATATTTACAAATGTTCCTTTTGATTGATGTCAAAGTAAAAGACCGGCATTCTCAATCTATAGCGTTCCCTGCACACAAGCAGTTCGCAGTTTACAGTTGATAGTTAACAGGGACACGTTTATTCTCATTATCTATGGTTTAAACTTGTTAACACGAATCTTCTAGTTTTTCCATTAATTTGATTATGAACATGTTGACTGTTGTAGTCTGGATAGTTTTTCTTGTTTCTGATCTAAATATTTACATGTAAGTCCCTACGCTTTTTGTAGTCAGATGACCTGTTAACTCTGTGCATATGTTGTTTAAATACTCGATTCCAACCAGCATTTGGAATTAGCCCCTATCCTTAGTCTCCCCTGTATTCAGACGACGGAAGACAAAGATGTTTTAAGCGTTCGTTGTTCGTAAGGTCTCTTGTCGCAACAGTAGTATATATGCATGGCTAGGCCTCGCTAACGCATACGAATTGAAGTAGCCCTACAACACTCTTTATTTCAGAACTTAAACAGGAAATAATACTAATCTACTTTAGCGGAATACAGTTGGGTTTACTTTTAGAGAGGCTACAACTTCCTGCCAAAATTTGGTGAAAGGAATGGTGATAATATGTAACCTTGTCCGTCATTCTGGTCGTCATAGGGATGATCCTCATCATCAAGGCGGCAGGAATGACCTGGCCGTGACTTCAACCATGTATGTCCAAGCAAGAGAGGTTCTATCTGCTTGGATGGGGTAGTCTCATGAGCAAGGATGAACCTACAGTTCAAGCTGAAGGTTTAAGGAAAGAAAATCCCATCAGCTGTGGATAAACCAACCAAGTGCTTGGTAAAGTGGTTTGATGCATCACTTAAAGATACAAGCAGCATCCGCAACAAGCAGAAGCTGACGACAGAGTTGATGAGGAAGATCGACAAGTCGGGCCAGTGAAGAAAATTGAAGGCATGGATCTTCCAACATGGATCGATACCGAGACTACTATAGCCACTGATACTACATAAAATCCCTTTAACAATAGTGGAAAGACTGGAGAGATCCATCAGCAGCTACCTGCGGAGAAGATTAGGAGTACCGCCCAGTTTCTTAAGCATGGGACTCTACAGCAAGACACCATCACTACATCTTCCGCTGCCATCGATGGTGGAGAAATTCAAGACCACAAATGCCAGACTGGTGATGACGCTTAGAGCTTTAAGGACGAGTAGATGAGACGAGACAGGGTTGCAGTCTAGGACGAGTAGATGAGACGAGACAGGGTTGCAGTCTAGGACGAGTAGATGAGACGAGACAGGGTTGCAGTCTAGGACGAGTAAATGAGACGAGACAGGGTTTCAGTCAAGGACGAGTAGATGAGACGAGACAGGGTTGCAGTCTAGGACGAGTAGATGAGACGAGACAGGGTTGCAGTCCAGGACTGGAAGGAAATGAACTGAAGTCAGTTGGTGGAACAGGCAAGGGAATCTCTCAAGCACCGAAGCATCGTCGCGTTGGATCATCCTGTCCAGGACGGCAGCAATTGGAGATAACGCATTTCCAGAAATAGAAAGAAACAGTCGACAAAGAGAAAGATCAATGGTACGTGGTAAATCCACAAAGAAGAAGGGTAAAAAAACCAAGGGCAACGGAAGAGGGATGGACAAAATGGAAGTTGTGGAATGGAAAGTCACATGGACAGACCTGTGGCGCTATATATGAACTCCTGAGGATTTTGATAATGTTGCAGTCGGTATATACGAAGCTTCGTCAAGCGTGACTAGTTGAGCTGAAGTGCTAGCTTTGCTATGAACGATGGACCGTGAGTCATATTCTTTCTGCATGCAAGACAGTGCCGACACAGGGACAATACCACTGAAGGCAGGGCCAGGTTGTGAGGGAAGTTAGTAGCAGATGCTTTCGAGATGAAAAGGGGAAAAAAAAAGACCATCACAAAAGCACGGACCTTTCTGCATTCGGTTTGTGAAAGCAGGGAAGAAGGAGTGCAGCACAACACTAGGGAACAGTCCTTGTGTATTGGTATGGTTTGTTGATTCCAGACAGATCAAATTCATCAAGCTCACTGCAGTCTCCTTGGGAGAGCAATGTGACCAGGCCAATGCCAGAAAGAGAGCTAAAGGTTTCCGCTTTTTGTGCAATTAAAATACATAAATAACAAATATCAGGAATATTTTAATATAAATTATTTTAATATCATTTTTTAGAAAAAATGCAATATTTGTTAAAGGTGTCATTCAACAACTCAAATGAAATTTTATTTTATTTGCAATGTCCATTATTCTTGAAAGGAAATCTGGGAAAATATACATGCAGTATTACAATTCTGCCGCTTATCATTGTAAATTAATATTGTTGTTCAGTGTTTTGAACATGTATTTTGGACACACAAACAAAACAGGTGTTTTTTATAAGAGAAGCATGAATATCATTCATACTTCAACCTATAAAACTCTGAGTACCCCCTGACCCTCTCACCATTGGCCTGGTGAACAAAATTTCCATATTTTAAAAATTCATACATCAAAATCATTTTCATTCCTCTCAATTCTGAAAATCGAGTGTAGTTCTTTTGACTTCAAGCAGATAATTGTTACAGGACATTCTCATAATTTGTGTATACATAGAAGTGACCTGTTGTAAGTAAAGAGAGTAGGGAACAGCATAACAAGCTTGAACTAGGCCCTCAGGAGTGAATTCCCCTTGTAAAAACATCTCTTTTGTTCATTATTCCAATCCCGTCTTTGGTGGAGGAAGAGACTTATTAACTCCCTTGTTTAGGGTCAAATGTCCAACTTTCTCATAAGGTCTGGTGGCAGGGTCAGAAGGTCAGAAGGTCAGAGGGTCAGAGGAAAAAAGGAATAGAACCTGTATGATATCCTCTGTACTTGCCAACACCACACAACACACACACAAACTATGGATGTGCAAGAACAAGACATTAGAACCAATATGTGCAAAGCTTCTTACAAAAGTTATAAAACACGTTAACAACAGACATGACTAGACAGTTTACATTATTTTACGTTTCTATGGTTACAATGATTCCATACATTTCTATGATACATTTTTATACTTACATCATGAGTTGTCTTTATTTATAACTACCAAGGTTATGACTTACATTATAAGCTATGTTTGTATACAACTATGGTATATGAAAACAAACTGGAATGATAAGGTAAATTTTATATATTAATACTTTATTTCTATCAATTGAATATGTAATGCAGAAGTTGCGTGATAAAACATACAAAAATCATTTGTCAATACAGTACTTTTCAAAAAAGTAGGAAAAAATGTAAGAAATAGGGAAAGAGTGTGTAACAATGCGTGCAGTGTTTTGATAACTAACATGATTTAATAAGGTAAATAAGGTTTGAATATCCTTGTGATATCAACCTCTGATTCCTGTACCAGACAGACCACAGACCATTGCCTGTAGGACGTTGGATCTCCGTGCCGGATAATTGTGTTGATTCACCAACATTTTTATTCTACTTTTTCATTTAACATGTTCATTTAACATGATTTAAGTTTTGGAGATCTTAACAACCGTTTTACTGGTGACCCAGATACCTAGTGACAGCTGGGATGACATGGGTTCTTTTATTTCCATGTTCACCTGTGGAGACTGGGAAGTCTAGGGAAGATGAAATGGGTTCATAAACAATTATTCAATTTTGTTTTATCTGTGGAGCTCTGGACTATAGGGAAGGGATGAAATGAGTACATTTATTACCATGTTTACCTGTGGAGTTTTGGAGCACTATAGCTAGGGAAGGGATGAAATGAGTTAATTTATTCCCATGTTTACCTGTGGAGTTTTGGAGCACTATAGCTAGGGAAGGGATGAAATGAGTTAACTTATTACCATGTTTATCTGTGGAGACTGGGAGCCCTAGGCCTAGGGAAGGGATGAAATTTGTACATTTATTCCCATGTTTACCTGTGGAGACTTGGAGGACCTAGGGAAGGGATGAAATGAATACATTTGTTCCAATGTTTGACCATGTACATACAGCATACAAGGTTTTATTTACAAGTGTGACCATTATCATACCGTACTATTACTTTGGTGGGCTTAATAGTTGGTATTTACACTTATCACCAGTGTTCAACCAATGAAAGTGAAATAAATGCTAGGACAGCCGATGACATGTTTTAAAAGAAATGTCCTTAATTGAATTAAACATAGATGGTCCATCTAAACATTTCAGCAGAGTTCTGCTATTAACTCATTCACCCCTGAAGACACATTTGAACTCTTCCAATTCAAAGGATGGAATAGTTTATTATGATATTTCAGGGGTGAATGTGTTAATCACCATCAACCTAACTTTAAATACATTCAAAGATTGTTATTTTATAATTAACAAGTACAAAATGTGTGTATTTGTTTTGTGAGTTTGGGCATTTTTTGTATTGAAATGTTCAGCAGTTTAAATGATTTGAAGATTATTTCAACAACATAGAAAAACTCAGCAATATAAAAAGGCACACATTTCTGTATGTAATAGATTAGTTAGTATGTTTGTAATTTTTTCAGAAATTGTACTTAAAAACACTACTTTACATATATATTTTGATGAGAAAAATATCAACAGACTTCAAGTATTTAAAACTGGTGAGAATTCTGAATACAAAGAATTAAACACTTTTACAGAACATTTGTGATACCATAATGGCTATGATTCAGAAGAAAGGTTATTTCATTCATAAGCAAGTTTATTTTGATTATCCAGATGATAAAAGCATGATCTGTAAATAATTGATATAACACCAAATCATACATTTACATAACTAAAATGAAAGTTATTAGAAAGTCCTTCAGCTTTCATCTGATAAAACCACAATTTTATAGAAAAAGAAATACATAAATAGCTATCAATAAATAATTAAACCTGAGTTAAGTACTAAAAAGAAATATATAATAATATTGCACAAAGAAATTTAAGCTGGGCAGTGATATAGGGGTTATGCCCCTTTATATACCATAAACTATGATGGGATAAACAGAATGGTCGTACAGGATCAAGTGTTTGTGTTTGCTGTTTATAGTCTCAACACAATTATTTTTAATGATATTGTACTATGTACATATGTGTGGTGAAGGCAGACTCAATGTCACACACCTGTTTCAAAACTTTTGGGTTTGACCCCATTGACCTCACAGTGATTATTGGCCCTATTCTGTGCCAGCAAATACTCAATATTGTCATAAGCACCCTCATCCATGGTGGTGGTTGTCAGCGTCTTCCATAATTCCTCCATTTCGGCCAGTTCCAGAGGATCTGGAGTGTTTATTGGCACGCTGTTCTCGTCAGGAGGAGGGGGCAAGATCATCACATGTTTCGCTTCCTTCAGGTCTGGGGACCTCGGGCCCTGCTTGCCCTGTAAATTCTGGTAAATGTCTATCACATTGGCTAAATTTCTGTCTCCATCAGAGCCAATGGATTCCTCTGATCCTGAAGGTAAAGGAGTAACCATAGCAACTGGAGAAAATGTCACAGATTTTTTAGTTTTCCCTCTGTGAGGTAAAGAAGATGTTATTCTAATTTCTGCTATTTCTGTCTTGGGTTTCTGTGGGTTCATTGTGTAATATTTCTCCAAATCGCCATTGTACATTGGTGGAGGGGTAACATCCAGTAGGGCGGGGTCAGGAGATGGTGGTCGAGGAGGTGCCCCATTAGACATTATGTGCATATCATCCTCTGGAGTATTATCAGGTGCAAGAAAGGCCTCCTTCAATTTTTTGTCAGAATCACCATCAAATTCTGAGTATTTGGTCATTTTCATTGGTGACCTCTTAATGGAACAGTAGCGCTCCTCGTCGTAGTTATACCTCTGTATGGTAGCGTCAGGCTCGTCACTATCGTAAGATTTCCCGCGGACCATTGGTGATGGAATGACTTCAGGCAACTTGGGATGGCGCTGCTCTCTGACTCTGAAACACACAAAATTATCATTGAATGTAAATAAGGCTTAAAGAAACACTGTGTTTATATAATATTTTGTTAGACAGATTAGCACTTCAATATTTGGATATACATGCACTATAAATAGAAAAGGTGGACATTTCCTCCACACTACCCACTACACAGTGGGGCTAGTGGCTCTAGTCCACCGTCAATATGCAATATACATCTGGATCACATTATCTCAACTGTATGTATTCCATGCTTGTATTTTACGGAACAATGAATAATCATCACATCTAAAGAAACATCCATTACTGTCACAGACCCAGGGTGTTATTTTTTACACAAGTAATGACCACTAGTTTGTAACAGAATGATAACTGATTCTGTACCATCATAACGACCTTATTACCACAAGGAATAAAGCGGAACCCAACAGAACTATTTCACGTGTCTGATATCCTAGCTGATAAGGAACATTTAAAGTAATATGTTTGTACAAGGATTGCAGTCAGCACACACCCAGACATAATTAGGACATCGTTCTGAGATTCTGCTACATTGTATTCAATTACTCTGATGTGAAACACACAGCTCCAGGCAAATGTTTTCAAATTTATGCATAATTTGAGATGTATTGGCAGTAACTATCTGATAACAAGGAATGGGAGATAAGCCTGTAACGGTTAACACTCATACTTAGATTTCCCAATGTTGTACACTGTATACGTAGTTAGTGAACATAATAAGTACAAATTCACACCATTTAGAATCAGTCAGATATCTGTCTTCCCACAATATCTATGGACACTTCAATGTCCCCTACACTATCCTCGGACCCTTATTTGTCTCCTTATAATATTCCAAGACCCTTAATTGAGATGGAACCATCCAAACTATAAATCTACCCTAATGGTTAATAACATCATTGCGAATGATGATGGGTAAATAGTTACAGTTATGGCTGGGCGATAGGAGCCACAACTAAGGAATCTTACAGCTAATTATGGAGTCTTCAGAATGAAATTAATTACCTAGGTACCACATTAAAGTAAAATGGAAAAAGTTGTATCAATCACTAAAGGCTACACATAGTTAGCTAGGATGTACATTACATTACCTAGCTATTATAGAAGATACTATTCATTTGGATATATTTGTCTAAGTCATAGCTAGGAATGACTCTCCCCTAATTCTTACCAGATCCATTCCATAGGTGATAGCACAGATAGTTTATTTTATTATAAACTCAGTACACAGTTTTTCTATAACATAACATGACATAGCTATGAATTACTCTGTGTAAGGGACTTACGCCTGTTTATTGATTGAACAAAATGGTAGTTCATATTAAACCGTACAATCTTTTTCTGAAAAAAAACCCACCTTGATATGCTGTGCATCCTCAGCTTTCAAGTTTAATTTCTGTACTTAACAAACTGTAATTTATATAAGTTTCACAAAAAGTCTGTATTTTTGTATTATTTATTTACCTTGACCTTTTCATCCCCCAAACAGAAGAAAGCTGACATTGGTCAGATGACATATCACCACAGTAATACAATCCAGTATTCATTGTTTTGAACAGTTATGGCGTTATGAGCGCCTGACCTTTTATTTCCATTGTCACACTTAGAATTTTTCTCATCATCAGTGGTATCAACATCCAAAACCTAGGTTTCTGTTTTTCTATATACTGCAAGGTTGACCTTTTTTTTTTTTTTATTGATAATGATATCATGAGAATGAAGATTGTCCTTGTGAGGTGTAACTTGGATCTTTGTTTCTGAATCACTGTATGGTTAAAAACACTTCTGGTGATCCATTGTCGTGAACTTTGATCTGTCTATCTCTGTACCTATATATTTGTTCTAATGATCAGTGAAGCATATATGCTTGACCTTCAGATGATAAATATTGGTAAGGTATTATAGAGACATGGTCCTTCTGTAGTAAACATGGCAACCATTTAGTATCTGCTTTTTTGTGAACATCTGAACAGGTGTGTAATATACTAAGCTGGAGTGAGAAGATTAAGGTGGTGGAACGGACTGCTACAAATTGTCCATATCACCAGGTGGATACAATTTTGTGAATCCCAGCCTCCTCTCCTCCCCTTTCCTCTACCCCAGCTGTTTATTGATGTACTCCACAAACTAAATACACTTTCTATTCTATATCTAAGATTTGGATCTTTCACCATATGCCAGTAAGTGCCACCATGTAATGGTGAAGAATGGAGTTAGTCTAAATGCACAAAATGTCAGAATGTTCAATTCCACATTAAAATATTTAAAAACAAATTGAAATACATATGAAATGTCATCGAAAACCTCACAAAATATCATTAAATTAAAGATTTAATTGAATATGATATAGAATCAGGTATATACCTGTCTGAACAATTACTGGGCAGATAATAAAGATTTGGCCTATCCTATGTCTTGTGACCACCTAAGACATAGTGTTACCAGAGGCCTTAATCTCACTGACACCTTTACGCACCTATATGGGTCCCCCACAAGTAGAGCAGGAGCATACATATTTCTTTATTCTAATTTGAATCTGAGCCAGGAGGTTCTATGAAATGTTTTTTACTTGTCAGTTAAGAGATTGAATCTTACTGTGTAAATCTCTTTGTAACTTATCTCAGATGAGCTTGTCCTGGAGTGTTCATACATTCCTAACAGGAGGAAATCAGTGCAATTTCAGAAATCATGACCTATAAATGAAGCTTAACCTATATAGTCAATTCCAGCTTTAACCAACTTTGAAAAAAAGCTCTCGTCAACATTGGAAATGCTAGCAACACAGTTGCCAACCAACCATTTCTATGGGAACTGACATATTGCAGCAATTTAAAGCATTTAAAGCAGTGGTCTCACCGCCCGTTTAGGATTTCAGGTTATGGCCAATTTTACCATTATGGTATGTTGTATTGCCCACTTATACCTTTCCAAGAACCAATGTGACCCTGATGGTGTTTTGTGTTCTGTTTATAGAACCATGAGTCGGAAATATCAACTTGTAAAAGTAGGAATGGTACACATATCTGTTTTGTGAAAAATAAACAAACATTTTTAGAATTGATACTTAATATATGCATAAAATATGTCAATGTTAGCTATGAAATAGCCCATTTTAGGTTCAATGACAATACATAAAAAAACTGAGGAGACTCAAAGAAATAAATATTACAAAGTCATTATACATGTATGATCTCATCTACAGTGTACATACTTTTACAGACAGTACTTTAAATCTAGTTTCACTGGAAAACTGGTATGAAAAGACATATACACAGACTAGAAATGACACAGCCCTTCTAGATAACTTAAGAAGCTGAGATGTAATTTGACCTTGTCCTGACCTCTATGGAGGGAGATGATTGGTGTAATGAACCTTGTCCATCACCTCTTTAAACGACATTCAATCTGAGTTCAGACAGACAGCCTGTTACCAAGATGACATTCTATCAGCTCACATATTCACATTTAACATTCTGACCTTATAGCTTTGTTTTCAGGTCACATTTAACATTCTGACCCTATAGCTTTGTTATCAGGTCACATTTAACATTCTGACCGTATAGCTTTGTTATCAGGTCACATTTAACATTCTGACCGTATAGCTTTGTTATCAGGTCACATTTAACATTCTGACCGTATAGCTTTGTTATCAGGTCACATTTAACATTCTGACCGTATAGCTTTGTTATCAGGTCACATTTAACATTCTGACCGTATAGCTTTGTTATCAGGTCACATTTAACATTCTGACCGTATAGCTTTGTTATCAGGTCACATTTAACATTCTGACCGTATAGCTTTGTTATCAGGTCACATTTAACATTCTGACCGTATAGCTTTGTTATCAGGTCACATTTAACATTCTGACCGTATAGCTTTGTTATCAGGTCACATTTAACATTCTGACCGTATAGCTTTGTTATCAGGTCACATTTAACATTCTGACCGTATAGCTTTGTTATCAGGTCACATTTAACATTCTGACCGTATAGCTTTGTTATCAGGTCACATTTAACATTCTGACCGTATAGCTTTGTTATCAGGTCACATTTAACATTCTGACCGTATAGCTTTGTTATCAGGTCACATTTAACATTCTGACCGTATAGCTTTGTTATCAGGTCACATTTAACATTCTGACCGTATAGCTTTGTTATCAGGTCACATTTAACATTCTGACCGTATAGCTTTGTTATCAGGTCACATTTAACATTCTGACCGTATAGCTTTGTTATCAGGTCACATTTAACATTCTGACCGTATAGCTTTGTTATCAGGTCACATTTAACATTCTGACCGTATAGCTTTGTTATCAGGTCACATTTAACATTCTGACCGTATAGCTTTGTTATCAGGTCACATTTAACATTCTGACCGTATAGCTTTGTTATCAGGTCACATTTAACATTCTGACCGTATAGCTTTGTTATCAGGTCACATTTAACATTCTGACCGTATAGCTTTGTTATCAGGTCACATTTAACATTCTGACCGTATAGCTTTGTTATCAGGTCACATTTAACATTCTGACCGTATAGCTTTGTTATCAGGTCACATTTAACATTCTGACCGTATAGCTTTGTTATCAGGTCACATTTAACATTCTGACCGTATAGCTTTGTTATCAGGTCACATTTAACATTCTGACCGTATAGCTTTGTTATCAGGTCACATTTAACATTCTGACCGTATAGNTCTACACTACTACAGTCAGGAGTCTACACTACTACAGTCAGGAGTCTACACTACTACAGTCAGGAGTCTACACTACTACAGTCAGGAGTCTACACTACTACACTACTACACTCTGCAGAATAACCAACTGTCTCCAGTTGTGACACTGCTGTATATGTTACACCAAACTAATGGAAGAAAGCTGCTCACCAACATGACATCCTTGCATTTTTCCTGCATGGTGTCTTACCGGTTATCTGCTTGTTTTGAGAATAATTACTCAACAGATCAATTAAACTCCCATTTGATTGTTATGTGTAATTCTAAAACTTAAGTTTTAAATTTGATAGTTAATTCTTAAACTTTAATTCTATATTTTAGTCTTTATACATATGTCTATAAGTTTTAACAACTGACTTCAAAGTCGACAAAACAAACCCAGTATAAATACATGTAAGATCTGTTTTTTTACCCGGTTTTTACTTTCCTGTACTTGGAATATGTGGGGTCCTTTTTATAAAGTAGTTTTAACAAAAGGAAGTGTAATATTGTTGTTTGAAATTTGATATTTCCTTTGTTATGCTTGGTGAAACTGTACATGTAGTTTTCCTTTTAACACAATGACCTAAAACATTCTCTGGTTTCTGTCTTAGAAAACAATAGAAACATAAAACAACAGAAATCTGCACTACTTTTCAAATATTGCAAGTTTCTCATTTCTCTGATGTAGTACAGGGTGCAAGAGAATTCCCATGAAAATAGTGACCTTAAAGTCATGAATTTGACCTCTTCAGAAATAATGGGAGGTTCTGTTGTCTTCAATGTCTTTGTAATTCCATCCCTCACATCCAAACATTGGTTACCGTTACTGTTATGTTATGATACTCCAACCCTGTAACATAGTTCAGGCTCCTGTTTCTTATGTAAGGGAGATAGGATCGTAAAACACTATCCCTCAACAGGGTTAGAGGTGAAAGGGTATCATCTCAACCTGACCTTCCTTACAAATTGGACACAATTGATGTGGGAGTGGGTGGTAGGGTTTGGGTTGGCCCTCCATCACACTTACAGGTGTCTGTGTTAGCAGGGTGTTTGTCTAACTCCTGATAAGGCAGACAGATACACATCTCCCCAGCCAAAGGTTATCACCACGGAAACTGGGGGATATACTTTACAGTGAGGGCAGGGCAACACTTACAAAAAAACTTTGCTACTTTTTAGTTTAAGAAATTGGTTATATATAATGTAGTGTGACTTTTTAAATACATCAACTAAAACATAAATGAAAATACATGCATCCATATACTTATGTCTGAAACTATACACATTTCCATTTCATTATCAAAAGTGTGTCATTGGTCCAATTTGTATATCCCTAGTCTATGGCAAATGATTTCAGATTCCATTTAAAAAAACTTGAAAACATTAAAAGAAAATGGTTATCCCAACATTTGTTCCTGTTGTGGAGAAATGTACATGTGGTGACTTTGCTGAAAAGGTGAACGTTAGTAGTGCTATAGGGAACTGGTGGTTGTAATAGCCACATCCTCCAATCCACTTGATGTATTCCCTGTCCGATTGAAAACAGCTTCCCCTCCATCTAAACATTTAATTTAACAGACACTATACCCTGTATCACCTACAGAACCACAATGGACTGTTCAACATCAATACAGTGGCCATACTAAAATTATTTCAAGGGAAGCGATGCCTAGGATTTTCCAGTTTAGAATTCTTGGTTTATTTTTTCTAGACCTTGAGTTTTTGTACTGGTTATGTGGTTAAACACTTCAATTAACACGATTCTAAAAACAGAATTCAATTATAACAGCTGAAAACTGGTCAATTTTCCTTGTGATCCACAGTTTCTGAGAATGTACAGGGCAGGTATTGTTTAAATTAACACTGCAGTAATGATAGGGTGTGAAAACTGGTACAAAACTGTTTTTGGCTGATTTTGTTATCTCTTTTAAATCCAGTTTATTTTCTTTAAATTAAATTCTCTTTTACTAGAAGGCAGCGTGTTGACTGGGAATTTTGGGATGTGATTAGAAGCCAATTAACCCTGTGTTAGGTTTATTCAGGTCTCAATTAGCTGTTGTACAATACCCTTGTAATCAAATTTACATCTTGTTATGTAATATTCACCTCTTCAGAAATTTAAATCGATAAAATACATGAACAAAATCTGTACCTTTTGGTTCGTAAATGTTTGCTCGTAACGACTTCTTTATACCACACCAAAATAGTACAATCTATTTTTGATTTTGTTTTTAAACAATGGTGAAAGCAAAGGAACCACTATATAAAATTGAAGAATTAAAAACTCTTTGTTTACTTACCATACTTAACAGACTAAATAAAGGTTAGCAACATCCGCAAGCAGTTCAAACTTTAAATCATCCCTGAATTCATTTTTGTTTGACAATTAATTTTGTCCTGAATGCTGTTCCAATTTCCAAGCATGCAACATTTACAGAAGGATTTCCACTCTACTGGTTTCCGTGGTGATGACCTGTATACATACCTTGTACAATGGACAGCAATGGCTACCAGACAGACCAGTAGTATCAGGGCAACAGCAGCAGCAATCCCTCCAATGATGGCCACTGTAACAGATAGTAGTCAGAATTTGGTAGGATTCAGGGGAGATAATAAACACAAACTAGGGGAAGTAACTGAATTATTATCCGGTAATCATTAATCTAGAGAGGTTATTAGAATAAACATAAATTTTCAGAAGTTTGGAAGAAAAAAATTCATTTGGAAACGAATATGAAATATAGACTGTTCCATTGCCCTTATTAGGTCATCTCCTTTAATTCATACAGCCCTTATAATGCACTATAACAAATAAGGTTAAAATCCCTACATTTGTATTTTAGGAATAGTACCTGTACTCGAAAGACTAATCTCCTTTTCTATTTTGGGTCTAACCTCATGCAGACACTCTTCCTTTATAGCAATTTAAATTCCAATGGTCCAGGAATACTACATACCAAATAAATATCTTCACCCATATAAACCGCATTTCCATTTTTGGGAAACCGCATTTCCATTTTTGGGCTTGCCTCTCTGCCCCAAGGGGCAGCCTTCATTTCTGACACCACAAATTCACTTGGCCCATTTCTTACAAAATGCTCATGCTAAATGTGGTCAAAATTCTTTCAACCATTCTGAATCAGTAGTCTTTTTCAAGTTTAAGCTGCCAACATTAGTTAATAAAGAAAAGCAGGCTAAAGGGATTTCTTATAGTTTTAGTTACCCTGATAAATCTTTACAGCTCATATAAATATAAATTGGATGGTTAAGTGTTTTTTATAAAGTGTGAATTGCAAAAGCAATAAAAAATCAGTTAACAAAATGTAATAATAACAAACAAATCATAAGAAGTAATCTTGACAGCATAGACAAGGTTTTGCCTTTAATAACAATGTTTTTGTAATGCTTTAGCTACTAGTGAACAATTAGTTTTTGAAATGGATTTTTTGAACGAACACCAAAAATACGTTAAATTCCACTAAAATTAACAGCTTTCCATTGTACCCAGCAAAGAGGAAATTGTACTTATCTGATG